GCTGGTTTAATCTAAAATATTTATAAGATAACTTTTGAAACAGATGGAACACAGTTACTCGTTCCCAGACTCATTGCAATTTGTTCGCTTGTCAGGGCCAATCTGGTTTCTGGATAAATGTGATAATTTAACTACCGTAACAGCGAGCTGACAAAGAGTCATCCAGAAACAATCGCTCGTGTGAATAAACTTCAACAAGTATGATTTGTAAGTCTTCCCTCCCTTTTTTTCTTAAAACGTGACGGCTTTTTGAACTGTCAATTTTAAGGTGAAATCGGTTGATATTAGCGATTATAAAAGGCCTTCTGCCTGACGGGGATACATACATGTTAGTCAGGAGAAGAATTTTCATGAGGGCCCTCCAAGCGTTTATGGTTTTAATTTAAGGTTTTTCATTTGGGAAAGGGCGGGGGAAGCGAGGACAGAAGTCTCACCAAACCTTGTTTTGTGCAGAATCAGTGTTAGAAATTGAAAAATACACGCAATAAGTAGCCTTATTCTATTTTGTTTTGCTATGGAGTTGAAATGAATGAGTTTTAAATGAATGAGGAGAGCATTCTACTCAACCATGTCTCCCCCTTCCCCTCCCCCCTCGAATAAGTCTCCCGTCTGATGAACTCTTTCCCTCCCCTCCCCCCCCCACTGGGGATAATTGAAGCGTTTACAGTAGTTATTCATTTGTAGTGAACACCGGGGGAGCGCGGAATGGCCACCACTGGTTGGGCTGCAACTGAGGTCGCTTGCTATTGCAATTGGATCGGCACCTGACCAGCTTCAAGTCGGTCATAAGAAACGCTTACCTGTTTAATTACCTTGGTATATTGAATAAATTACACTCCATCAGATATTTTCTCTTGCATGATTTGTCTAAACGCGCCACAGTATCCAATATGGATTTGTTAGAATCGAGGAATATCCTGTAATATAGTTGAAGCTACTGGGCAATCAGAGTTTTCCGAGTTGTCTGTTTAATGGATGGTCGATAATTGTAAAACTCGAGAATTCATATGATGGTAAATTTTATGAATGCACTTATAGTTGTGGAACCGAGGTTATACCTCGTGAAAAGCAATGGATGCCAGAGAAATTTTAGAAAACATTTACGGCAATTTAGGACTGCCTAGCAGAGTGACTAACTGTCTGACTTAAAAACTGAATGCGACTCGATTTTCTTATGTTCCACTAACTGACGGACGACAACTGACACCTGGCGATAAAGCTAGCTGCCATTACCAGCCGAATAATCGAAATTATTTTCAATTCACGGCAGCCGGAAAGCCATATTTAATTGGATATTTCCATGACTTTTAAGCCAAAATTATACCTTCTAAGATCAAAATTCTCGAGAAATCAAGTTGTGTGGAACTTAATATATTTACAAGTCTGTTGCTAAGGGAATTTTAACTTCAGTTCCTTAGCCTCGGTTCATCGACCCTAAAG